TGGTGGAATCCTTAAGCAAAAAACTGAGTCCATTCCTTCTGAACAAATCATTCGTTTTCATTCTGGTATTTGGACTAAGTCACAATCTAATTATAGTACTATTAAAAAAGAGATATTAGCTATAGTACTATGCATTACTAAATTTCAAGATGATCTTTTAAACCAAAAATTTTTAGTCCGCTTTAATTGTAAATCAGCTAAGCATGTTTTGGAAAAAGATGTTCAAAATATTGCATCAAAACAAATCTTTGCACATTGGCAAGCTCTTTTAAGCATATTTGATTTTGACATTGAATATCTAAAAGGCAGTGAAAATTTTGTTCCTGATTTTCTTACTAGAGAATTTCTACAGGATAAACAATGGCCAGCAGAAAAGAAAAAGACAAGCACAAAGAAAGTTACAACCCATCTCCTCAATTACCCAGAATCCTCCCTGCATCCCTAAGCCAAAAAACAACCAAAACTGAGCCTAGTTCTTCCTCCTTCCCTAAACCTGAATCTACAATCACCCCTTTTTCCTAGTCTTTCTCCCATCCCAGTGCTGAATCGTTACAGTCCCCTCGGATCTACAATAACCCAAATGAGACCTAATTACCAGTCTGCATTAACCTCTAGCTATGATCCATTCCAATTACCCCCAACTGCAACCCCTCTTTCCTCCTCTTCCTACCACCCTAAGACATCTCCCTATGTTTATAAGAGTACAATCTTTTTATCATCGAACCCCATGTTCCTAAATCTTTGAGCCCCATTATGATTGCCCAAAATCATTTTCCCCAGGTTTTCATTATCTTCCCCACAGTCTGTACAAATCTCTTAAGTTCTACCGAGAAATACTCCATGAGACCAAATCTGTTGATATTAAGCCTATTCGTGATAAAACTGACCCCCAGAAAATCATCTATAATTCCCTTCACATTTACCAAGTCCTAAGTCAGAAAAGCTGGGGATCACATCCCTATGAACTCAGAACCCTTCCATCCAAATTACAATATAATTATGCTGATTACGTTGAGTCCTGGTATTACATTTTCCTACATCAAACTCCTGATTTTACCCATTCCTGGTTCATCAATTTTGACAGTAAGTTTCGTTGTGAGCTTCCCTATTGGTTCCTTCACTGGTGGGATACACATGGTCCTAAATCAGATATTATCCCCCCCCAAATCACTGAATTAATTACATATTTCTCTGCGAAAGTTCAAATTCCTGAGCGTGATTCATTTTTTCCAATCCCTCAACTTTTCTTTACCCGTTATAAAATTCCCTGGATTATGAAATGGTCCTACAATGTCAATTGGGAAACCAGAATTTTTTCCCGTCAGTTCTCTGTTAAGTGGTGGGATCGTTTTGAAATCCACCGTATCTCTGAGTCTGTGTATCGTGATTTTCCCCCACCTACATTTCCTAAGCATGAACCTGAGCCTACATCTCCTCATTCTTCTCAGACTACCCTCTCTATTGAAGGTAAATCTAAAACAGAATTACAGGATATGGCCAAGCAACTTCTACTCCAAGCCTCTCAAATGCAAGATGATGACGACACTGAGTCCCAATCCTCTTCGAGCTGTCAACCTCGTCAATCAAGTCCGAGCCCTGATCGCCCCATGAGATGGTCTGACTATCCCCACAGTCAGGACCCCAATGATGCATACGCCACCTATGAGCTCAATTCAAACTGAGATTCCCTATCCTAATTGAGTCCTATCATCATTGCGTTACAATGGTAGACAGAATGAACCGGTAAAAGCAGATTCCTGAGTAAAAGCATAAAAGCCTGAGTAAAGTAGATTCCTGAGTAAAAGCGCCCGAGTAAATGCATAATGAACCTAGTCAAAAGCTATAAAGTTCCTTGCTCGTGATTACAAAGTCATCTGAGTTACTTTACTTTACTTACTTTACTTGAGTTACTTTTAGTTTACTAAGGTTTAGATTTGTTCTATTTAAAGATGGTTTTGCATCGTTTGTAATCAGAATGTAAAAGTTTAGTTTCCTAGTTTCAAATTGTTCTCTCAGAAACAATGATATGAAGAACAGCATAGTGTGAGTGAAGCCAGGAACTATTCTTATATATACAAAGAGCTTACATTGAGGGATCTCTCAAATAAGCTTATTTGAGGGACACCCCTTGTAAGCCTCACTCCGGATTGTATTTCACTAATCCAAACCGTCTATTTTGTAGATACTCATTCAAAAATCATCTCTACAAAAAATCAATTGAATCCGATATCATTTGATCACTCAATTGAGTTGTTGAAATTTTAGTACTTTCTTGAAGCACCGTATTCATTGATTTTGTAAAACACAATTGGATGTCGAAACAGTTTCTAATTTGTCTAATTTTTTGTAAGGATGATCTATGAATGAATACCTAAAAAATGGATGGTTTGGATCATTGGGAAAAAAATTGTACCCTAATGGGCGTCCCTCAAATAAAATTATTTGAGGGATCCCTCAATAGAAGGGGACTGTATATATATATATATATATATATATAAATTGATCCTCTTTCTTTCTTATAGTCTTTTTTTTGCCATAACTTGTACTAGGTTACTAGTCAAAGTATTCGAATTTTGTCTATAAGGGCGTGTTTGTTACACCGTGCAAGCTTGGACTGGCTTGGCTAAAGTTTTATCCCATGTTTGTTTCACCATGTTCTAATTTTAAGTGGGATTAACTAATACTAGGCCCACCTAAAACACCTCCCTAGATGTTCTTAGCTAAACCCATCTGGAGAGGAGGGACTAACAATCCCGACGACCCAAGCAACTAACAACCACACCCAATCGCCCCACAACCAACAACCGACCAAGCAGCAGCCACAACCACCATCCCCAACCACCAGATACGACCACCTGCCACGACCACCGGCCACAGCCACCCAAGAAGGAGATGACAGAATAGAAGAGGAAGAGGAGAGAATAGAAAATTTTCTAAAAACAAAACAGAGAAGATGAGAGAAAATGGAGAAGAAGAGATGAGAGAAATTTTTCGGAAAAAATAGAGAAGAAGAAAGAAAATGGAGGAGAAGAGGAAAGAAAATATAGAAGAGGAGGAGAGAATTTTAGAAAGAAAAAAAAACAGAGAAGATGGGATAAAATTTTTGAAAATAAAAGAAAAGAAAAGAGAAAATGGAGAAGAAGAAGATAAAAGAGATGTAGAGGGGAAGAAGAAGAAAGAGATGTAGAGAGGTTCATCCAAAAATGAAAAAACGAGATGCAGAGAGGAAGAAAGAGATGGAGAGAGAAGAAAAGTCAAAAAAATATAAAAAAATCTTACTTAAAATAAAAATAAAAATAGTCCTAGTCCAACCAAACATATACCAAAAGCTGTATAAGTGTTATCCAGCTTATGCCAGACCAAGCCAATCAAAGACAGTACCAATACTTAATCCAGTCCATGACAGTCCCCTCTACCAAACGACCCCTAAATGTATTGGGGGAGATGAGAGACATATTTGTACGTAATTTACTATATTAATTAACCACTAATGTGTCTTTAATTATTTGGTTTCTAGTCACAATAATCATTGGCCGGTAATTACAAAAAACTATATATAACAATTCTCTAGCTGCTAAAACATTTCAGTTCCACCCCAGCTCTTATGGCAACCTTGGAAGTCTTCACCTTCCTCTTATTCTTCTTCTCCTTTCATTAAAAAGCAGCAACCAAATGTGGTGGAACAACAAGCACTGCCAATGCTCCATCCCTTCGATTCCCTTTCCTTCTCAAAAATCACAAACCCTCCCATTGCGGGTATCCAGGGTTTGATCTCATCTCATGCAATAGCCAAAGGCTTTGATCATTCTTCAAAATTTTGTAAGTTATCATTTAATTTAGGGATAAAGTTACATTTGATCCTTGTATTGTTCACTTTGGTTGGGTTTCATTTTCAAGGACACGTACAAAAAATTTCATTCAATTCTGTTCAAAATACTCTCCATGTAAGGGGTACATGCTTATTTCATTAAAAAATCAAACGAAAATTTGGACGTGTCTTTGAATTGCAATGAATATCAACATGGTCAAATCGCCATAATTGAAATCAGATGGACCAATACATAGACCAAAACTTAATTTATGACTAAGGCTCCATTTATCATGTCATAGATACTAATGTTGTGAAAAAAGAAAAAAAAAATATCAGTCTCGATATTTTCAGGTCTCTCAAGGGCCTGCAAAGTATGCCATACTATTGAGCGTGCGAATTCAAGTAAAACCTCTAAAATTATTTCAATATTGGACCTTGGACATATAATAGTTCTGAATAGAATCTCGCTGTTGGGCATCATTGGGATCGTATTTTATGTTAGTGACAAGATCAGGGCTCATGAACTTCTCCAGCAACAGCAACCCACCACAGATTTATCAATCAACAAAACAGATCCTCCCGTAGCCATAAGGGGCTGGATGATGTGACCATCCAGTCTTATCGCAAGATTGAGCTCGGTGAGACTTGGGAGTTGCTCGAGCCCAACAACAACGCGAGTATAACCTGACTGCAACCATTATTTTCATATTAATTGTGTGGACGAGTGGCTTAGGACGAATGGAACATGCCCTCTTTGTCGAAATCCACCACACCGACAGCAACGAACGATTGATTAGGGACAGCAATTTTGTGGCAATATTAAGTCATCAGATGTGCAGACAATGACATATATATCATATATGGTTTTGCTTTTTTTTTCTAATGAACAAAATATACTTCCTAGTGTGTTGTTTCTTTTATGTCATATTTTTACTTTCTTTGGATGAGCTGAGCATAAGTAGTGTGACAGCAACAGCCCAACCATGGAAAATCATTTTCCTGCATATGATGCAAGTCTCTGGTCTTAGCTCTTAACAATAACCCCTGCTATATATGGTTCATGAGATTTACATGACAATCAAATTCTAACCACACAACAAATTAACAAATTAACAACCAAACACCCCCTCATAAATAAACTACTCCCACTATCCCTAACACATCTATCATACAAATTGTAAGGCCAAATATGATTCATCAAGCCATTCTTCTACTGTTCTTGCTGGCTTCTGCTTCTGCTTCAGCACCCTCGTGCCCCGACATCACGTACCAGTTGGGCCCCTGCATTTCTTACCTGCTGCAAATTGAGGTGGCACCGCCTCCGGCTTGCTGTGATGGTGTCAAGTACCTCAGCCAGTATTCAAGTGACAAGGAAGATAGAGAGGCTATATGTTGGTGTATCAAGGGCGCAGCTAGTATGATGGGGCTTACTGATTTTGCTCTCATTTCTGCTCTGCCTAATACCTGCGGCGTTTCTGTAAAACTTCCACCTATCTCTAGCGACATTGATTGTTCCCAGTAAGCAGCAGTCTTGGATTCTTGGCTAACTTTGTCATCTATATATGTGTATGCATGAAGAGAAGAGACTGATTTTTTGGGTTTCTTACATGTACAGGACAGGGTCTGAAGATGTAGAGGAAGGAGCTAAAGAGTTGGGCAATGTTTGAATAAATTAATGCGGTTCTTCACCGTTTGCAATGGGAAAGGAATAATTATGTGAAAGAAATAATTGTAATGAGAATAATGGAATAATAACCCTAAATAAAATTTCACAGTATTGCTCATGGCTTTTATGCACTCAAGAATCACCTGATGTTCACATACATAAACTCAAATTATTTATTGATTCAGCGTGACCTTATGTGTAATTGTTTCGTTTTCAAAAGCTACAAAATGCGATCAAACAAAATATAAATAAAAAATCAATTAGATAAGAGCAATTTTGTCTATTTTGGCTTCTTTTACAAAAAATTTCTCTACTCTGTGTTTTTCCAAAATCTCCCTAAAGTATACTTCACTTTTTTTGGTTGTAAAATCTCAAAATGCCTCACAGACTGATAGTTTAATGAGAATGTCAATTTTGCCCTCGATCAACTAAAATCCCAACGAACTTGTACCCGTGTAAAAACCTAAACCGCCATTGATCTCAGCTCACATCTCAGACAGGAATCTGGGACTGTCTGTTTCTCTCTCTCTCTCTCTCTCTCTCTCTCTCTCTCTCTCTCTCAGGTACGGCCCAATACCTCTCCGACAATCAAGCGAATCCAAATTCAATCAGATTCAAAATCCATCGTCTTCGAGACTCTGTTAGGGTTTTATTAGGGTTTAAAGATTCCTTTTTTCTTCCTAATTAATTTGAACTTTTCTGTATAGAGAGCTAGTCATACACAGTCAGACGTATCGATACACATCAATGGCTTACTGGAGAAGCCTCTCCACCAGAGCGAGCTTTACAGCTCGACGACGACAGAACCATCCGTCCATCACTCACATTCTCCAAGACGACGACCGCAAGCACGATTTCGTTTCTGAACAAGCTTCTTCGCCGAATTTGAATCATTTTCTCAGCCAAAAGCGATTTTTCGGGAACAATTTGAGCAGAATATCTGGTTCTGGCGGTTTTGCTCAAGACAGGAGGATTTCAAATGCTCTGCTTTCGTCCGGTTCTGGGTTCGCGTGCTCTCGATATATGTCGACGGCGATTGGTGGCGGTTCCGATAAGGTAGAGCTGTTGAGTGATGTATCGGGGGTTGTATCGGACGCGACGATGGGAGCCGTGGCTTCTCAGGTCTCGGCAATGAGCGAAATTGCAATTGCCACCGCAGATTCGTGGCTGCCGGTTAAGGCCTTGCAGTACTTGATTGGTTCTGTGCATACTTATACTGGCTTGAACTGGTTAGAAGCTATTTGCTTTTGATTATTTTTAATTGTTAATTTTCTTTAGGCCAATCTTTGAATTTGTGAATGATCTTAAATGGAAAAGAATTTAGCCCCTTTTATTTGATTTTCTGAAGCCAATTTCTGAAATTGTATGTTAATTGGGTGAAATGATTTGCCTCCACAGAACATTTTTTGTTTTGTCTAGCAGCATATATAGTGGGTATGATTGGTTTTGATATTGTATTACATTATGAAGGTATTTTATTGTTTGTTACTTTTCAGGTGGGCTGCCATAGCAATAACAACTCTTTTGATTCGAATGGCCACGGTTCCAATTCTAATTAATCAACTTAAAGCAATGTCAAAGCTCGCTGTAAGTTTTGTTGTTGTTGTTGTTGCTGTTTAAAACTTGTACAATCCACCTCTTGTTGCTTTCTTTCTTACACTTAAGAGTGAGAATTTCTTGATGGTAGCCTCTCAGTGCTTTATTGGTGTTTCAAGCTTTAAGTGACTATTCAAGTATTTTAATGAGTGTCTACTTTCCTCGCCTAGAGACTGGTTCTTCTATTGACTTGTGTGCTTTCTGCAGCTCATGAAACCTCAACTGGAGGAATACAGGCAAGAGATGCAAGATAAGGTATGATGCCTGGTTCTTGTGTGCTTTCTCCCACCAAGGATGTTGCTTATCTAATGTCTCTGCTTTATGATATATCTAGTTGCATTAGCAAGGTCACCTTTGCAACAGCAATCTCTTTGTCCTATTATAGACACTGTCTTGTTGTGCTTGTCTAATTTCTACAGTTAAAGTAATAGGATGGTAGGTGCTTTAAGAAATGAATCTTTCAACTAGGCAACTTAAGAGAACATTGTCCAGGCTCATAGCAAGGATGGGCATGGGTTTTATTACTGAGCTCTCCCAGGAGACTAAGAAATGACTCTTTCAAGCATGTTTATCGATGTTCTTTTCTCTTTTATCAGGGTATGGGTCGTGAGGCTGTGGCTGAATTTCAAAAGAAAACGGGGAAGCTATATAAGGAGTAAGCAAGCTTGTTTGTGTCATTCCACCTTACTTAGGTTTTCCTTATTATGATTTAACAAACGAAATATGAGATCCAGTGCAGTGTTGCCTGGGATAAATACTTATTGCTTAGTTAATTATATATATATATATATATTATTCTTTTTAAAAGTATCTTTATGCAACTACCAATTCTCCTTCCTGAGCTTTTTCATTTTGTTACTGTGATTTGGGCATGCAGATATGGCGTCCATCCATTATCTGCAATGAAGGGAATTTTTGTTCAAGCTCCTGTCTTCATCAGCTTTTTCCTTGCCGTAAGATCTCTCTCTTAGTATCTTCCAACTGATGATGTCTGATTTTAGATTTCGTGTTTTGATGTCTGAAATAGCTTTGTTTTGGTTTGGCAGATAAGTAACATGGCAGAGAAAGTGCCATCCTTTAAAAGTGGTGGCGCCTACTGGTTTCTTGATCTGACAACTCCAGATAGCATGTACATTTTTCCAGTTTTGGCAGCATTGACATTCTTACTAACCGTGGAGGTACCCAACTGCTTTGTCATATAATATTTTTCAACTTTGTTGGTTTCATTTTAGATGGGATATTTTCCCTGATGAAATAGTGTCACATACATACTGAACACTTGAAATCTTTCCTTATTTACAGTAGAGTGAATTTTGACAGGTTTAGATCCACAGAGGCTTTTGCTTTCCTTAAATTTGGCCATGAAAGAAGCACTCTAAATATACAGGAAAGGATAACAATTTTGAATAGGACCAGTTGTATATGCTAGTAAATCCTGGGCCTGATAGTCTGTCAAGTTGTAGGGGGTTTGGTACATTTGATACCTAGTTGCTTAAGAAATGTTTATTATCTTTTTTGTGCCATTCTCGGGCTTTTTTATATATTTTTTTTTTCTGGAGAGGGAAAGACCTAAGGTGGGGATGGGTGTGTGTGCAATCAGATTGGTTCAAAAATTCTGTCAAACCAATTTGAGAATTTATTTATTTATGTTTGTTCTCTAGTGCAATCTGCAAGAAGGTATGGAGGGAAATCCTGCTGCTGGCACCATGAAAAATGTTTCAAGAGGCCTTGCTGTTCTTACAGTTCCATTTACCATGAGCTTTCCAAAGGTATCTTTGCTAACTTTAGTGGCTTCTTATATATTCTATGTGCTTCTCTCCATTCATTTCTATAATAGATGTGAGTACATCTTGCACTGTCACGCCAATGGCTTTGGGCCTAATGGCACCTCCTCCTAACCAGGGTGGAGGCTGAATTCTGGGTTCAATTCCCATGAGGTGCATGTGTAATTTGCCAGGACTTCCACCATCAATTTTTGTTCCTCAAAGGATCTTTTACCGTCCAATGTTCTTTGTGAACTAGCTCTGTGGAAGTTCATATCTAGATACGATTTGGACCTTTTCAAAGCTATGCTCATTAAAGCTGTGGAAGGCCAAAATATCATATGGTTGATGGAATAAAAGGGATTTCCAAGGAAAATTCATCCTTCACTGGCAAGGCACATAGTTACATATAAGGATGGACGGTCGAAGAATTGTCTCATTTATTTCTTATAAGGATAGAGAATCAAATAATGGTCTCATAGATGTCTCCTATTTGGTTGCATGTAGTTTTAAGATCAAAATATGGACCACTTATGAGGTTTTTTTTATTTGTTTTAATAATATTTTACATATGTGTTTGGGTTTGGGTTTGTTTCACTTTTATGTTATCAACCAAAGTCACATGATGACAAAGTTTATCAGACTCTGAAGCCAGGCTGATGGTATATTTTACTTGGTATTTATCAATTCTGCAGGCTGTATTTTGTTACTGGGTTACATCCAACTTGTTTTCGCTTGGGTATGGACTGGGTGAGTTCTTCTAGATTATATTTTGTGAACAATGGAGCCGCCCCCCCTCTCCTCTCTCTCAAAGAATATCTCAGACTTATTGTGCTGAATTTTCTGGTGTATTTTTCCCCTTTCCCCTTATAACTAACTCTACATTTTGATTTCAGTGCTTAAATATTCTGGGCTGAAGAAGGCCTTGGGTATTCCTCAGCTGCCTAGTACTCCTCCATCACAACGATCACAACCTGCATTTTCACTGTTATCCACACTGAAACAAGTCGCTGCAGTGACTCAGGATACAACCTCATCACCCGTTGAACAATCAAAGGTTCAAGATGGAAGAACGTCATCGTCATCAGTTCTCAGTCAAAGGATTAAAACTTTAGAGAAACAAGTGAAGGGAAGAAAGAGAAACAAGAAGAGGTAGAGAATTTATTGATTTTTAAAAGTTCAACCGTAGGCATGACCATTGAGGAGGAGGTTTCATTGCTTTACAGTTATAATATAATATTCTTTAAATTGGCGACTCATTGTTTCACTTATTGAGAGATGGTAGGGATCGAATGGTTTTAATGAGTTAGATTAGAACTATCAGTGCCTGTAATTTTTGCTCGGAAAGTTTGAGAATTTTGTGGAAGTCTTTGAGGTGGTGGTCCCTTGTATCTTACTCTGCAAGAATTAACAAAACCCACTTGCATTGTAAAATAAAATAAAGTTACATATTTCTTTTTAAAATTATAAAATAATCATCATTATTGTAACTGGACTCTGATATTTGATTCGCCTAATACATCATTATTGTATACGCTTTCATATGTCATGTGATATGTTTAAAGTATTTCTAAATGGGTACTAAATTCATTCATTATAGTTTTGAATGAATTATTTCGTATATAATAAAACAATTATCAAATAAAGTATTTCTGATCTCAAATTGATCCCATACTCTGGCTAATCAAACTTTATATAATTTTGATTAAATTAAGGGCCATTTTATGGTTTCCTTGCAACTTTGGCTTTTTATCATAAAACGTCTCTGACGTTTGCGAAACTATCAGATTGCATCCTTAAAGTTTTTTTGTATCACTCATGGTCTCTAACGTTAATATAAGTGTTATTAAATAGTCCCTTCGTGAAAAAAAAAAAAAAAAAAAAAACTGTTAATTTCAAGGATAAAATCATCAAATCAATCTAAAATTATAATATATATGTTCATGACTAAAATTATAATATGTATGTTCATGACTGTTATACTTGGCAGAGGGCTTAGCTGACTTAATCCATTTTGAGATTCCATTGACACTCTGTCTCAACTATTTGATATCAAATTCCTCCATCACTTTTGCTGCAGAGTCATCGTCATCCAGACCTACTTCTATTTGTATTCCCAGGATCAATGCTCTCAGCTCATGTGATGATATGTATGTGTTATTATTTCGGTCTAATTTGTGAAACAGCCTGCAAATAAAATCAGGAAACAACTAAACTAAAGATAGAAACCTGGAACCATGAGGTTGGCAGTTCGATCCCCGCCCATGGGAATGGAGCACATTTCGTGGCCAGCTGTTTACCTCCTTTGGGAGAGCTCCCGAAGCAAAAGGGATTAGTCACTGCTGTCGGCGGTGGACACCCTTGGGTCTAACCAAAAAAAAAGAATGAAACCTGGAACTTACCCTCGTATAATGGATACATTGGGGTTGCCTCCAACTGCCAAAAGACTCGGTAGCAAGTTTTTTTGTACATATTTACGCATCACAAAATCAAGTCTTCATTTCTGATCGGGAACCTGTAACCATAACCAGGATCGGGGAAATACAAAAAATCAGGAAATTTGGAACATCCGCCGCAATTGGCCAGAGCCCAAGGCATATATAAGTCTGAAGTTGATCTGGAAATTTGACTTTTTTAGTGACGAAAAATCTGAAGAACACCATCGCAGAAAATGTTTAGCGACGAAAAATCTGATGAACATTTGTCGCTAAAAATTTTTTGTGACGAAAAAGCTTCAAATTTTTGGGCAAAACGGCAGCTGAGTTTTTATAGTTCAATTTGTTTATGTCATTCCCTTCCATTTTCAATGCTCACCTTTATGTTATTCCCTTTCATTCATGCTTCCTCTTTTTCTGGCCTTCGCCATTGGAGTATGGGCGTGTCACTGCCACATACCGTGAATTAACAAGCTCTCGAGGTATAGCTGCACCAGAAGATCATAGAATCTCAACCAAATCTGGAAACAAGTTCTTGTTCTCCTCACTTACGAACACAATTGCTGCACCCTCTTCTCCCAGCCTAGATGCCCTACCAATCTGATGGACATACTCCCTCATGGAATTTGGCATGTCAAACAGAATTACCTGTCTTACACCCACGACGTCAACTCCACGGCCTAAAATCCCAGTGGCTACTTGGAATTTGCTGGAAACTAAATTATATATATATTATAATTTTGGATTGATTTTTAATATATATTTTTTATAATTTTGGATTGATTTTGACGATTATATCCCTGGATTTAATAGTTTTTTTTGACATAAGGACTATTTAAGAGCACCTATATTAACATTAGAGACCATGAGTGATACCATAAAAAGCCTACAATTTTTTATCCCTAGCCTAGACTAGGAGACTCTTATCCAACTCGACGTTTACTTTTTAAGATATGTTGTATAATGACACTTCCGCCCAAACGAATTACTTATTAGTTTCGTCAAGGGCAAAATCGTCATAGAAAAGGTTGGAAATCCGATGTTTCCTGTGCAATAGAAGCTGCACTAACAAAATATTCCTTAGTTTCAAACCTTTAACTGCAACTTTTACGTGCGTTGAGCCAGTCAGGCTTTTAGAACTCTTATTTAATCCATCCTAAGAGCATTTTCGACCGATATGTCAAAAGTATCATATAAACATTTAACGGCTAGAAATAACATCTCACATCACTCCAACCGAATTGTCAAAACTGATGTGGAATAAAGGCTGGAGGTTTAGCTGTTACTTTTGACATCCCAAAAGCAAGATGACAAATGAATATTTTATTATTTTTTAAAGATAGCGGGCTGTTACTTTCATTTATTATATTTTCTTTTATTTTTTTTATTCTTATCTTAAATGATTTGATTGTTACAATAATTATTTATTTGACATATCTGGTAGAGTGTAAAACTGTATAAATGACAAATTGCCACATCAGCCATCAAATTTAAATTTGATGTTTGATATTTGACATCTCCCTTGAAGATGCTCTAAGATGTAACAATGGAAGTACAAGCCAAAAGTAGATATTTCAACTCACAAAATTTATTATCTTGATGTAGCAATGAAAGTGCAAACCAGAAGTAGATATTTCAACACTCAAAATTTATTATCTAGGAATTTATCAGGCAACTGTTTGTCAAGGGAGAAACACTTACAAGAAATGGGGTTATCACTATTTTGCTATCTCCTGCCAATTATAGTATGTTATTCATAATAATTTTTCCACATAACAATCTGTAATTAATAAGAAATAACAAAACAATGTTATCCGGTTATATACAAGTTTTTCGACTGCCAAGGGTGGATAGGGGCCACAGTTATATAGAGGCAATTAGGCAAGGACCCTACAATGGCAACAGAATAAAGGGCTTGTCTTTTTTAGCTCAAGTTCCATGTCTCTCCTGCCCAAACTAGCTCTGTCCCACAAAATTATTTGTACTTTTTTTTATGATAGTAGCCCACATTTTAGTGTTGGCCAACGACTCGGCAATTAATTGTGTGGTGCATGGCATCATGCCTCCTCTTAATGTAGCCGTAGGTCCTAAGGATCACCTTTAGATGGGTGGGTGGATTTTTTTATATATATAATACAAGTGATAATTTAAATGATAAGGAGAGAGAGTTTTTGCACACACATATTGTCAAGGTATCATAGATATTCGAATCTAAGACCGTCAGTATGAAAATCAAGACATTTTGTCCACTAAACTATTTCGATTAAATTAGGCTAATATTTTGATTGTTATGTTTGAATATGTGGTTTACAAATTTTCTTAGTAGAAGGTGATGCTATTATGACTACAATCCGTCCCGATTCTATCCAAACCCAACTAACCAATTCTTTGATAAACAACTACTTAAAAAGAATGATAAAGCAACATACCATATGTTTAAGTTCAACACTCAATCAACCAAATTAAAAGGAGAAAAATAGAGTCGCAATAGTCACCTCATCTAACTACTAACATAACCAACTAACTATTTCTTCACTTGGTTGGGAAAATCTCGAGCTTGAAGCAAAGCACCACTGCATACACAAGTATGATTCGGTGATGAGAAGGTGCTTTCTTGCTTAATAAGAAAAGTAAAATCAATATCTTTTGTTAGTTCTTGTTGGTTGCCTTCTTTTAGACTTTTGGATTGCTGATGGCATGTGGACATTAATATAATCAAATACTTTTCAATGAATGAATGAGTTTACAATGTCAAAGAAAATGGGGAAAATCTTTAAAATTAGTGATAATCACAAACCTAATTAATTGATTTAAATGTTGATTTTGCATATAATAATATGATGGTATTGACAGAAGCAAGGATCTCATATTTAATTTCCGCCGGTCTATAGAGGTTTGGCTAAGTATCAAATTGCTGATGCAGATTTATTAAATAATTATACAACTTTTCATAAAATAAAATAATATATATATAAATTCTTTAATAAATATTTTATGTTAAGGATTTGTGACATATTTCTAATCTCGACCATTGTCCGATATTAGAAATATGTTAAAATGAAAGAAAATGTGTGAGGGATTTTCTCTGGGTTCAGAAGAAAATGTGAAACAGAAAAGAGGGTGAGGAGCTTGAGTGGTTCACCTACATGCATAATGCATTGCCCTTTGTTGACGTATTCAGTTGGATTAAGAAAGTTAGAAAATTACAGACAGAGATAGATGGCCTGATAAGCTAGGATTGGTATAAATTTGTATGCGGACATGCATTAACTCCTTGAATTGAAATGCTATAGAATTAATCAAGTTTCAATTTATAGAACAACGACCAATGTCTAGAATTGATCCACTATCCAGATCACAAGAAATTTCAGAGAAAGTTCCTCTAAGGAAATGGTCCAAAAAGAACATATATATTGAGACACATTGACTTTGATTTTCAAGAATTTATTTACATATACGAACTTTTCTCATGTGCTGGGTCACTTAGATAACATGAAATCACAAATGTAATCTAAAATTACTTGGTTATATATATATATATATATATATATATGTATATATAGATTGCATTCGTTTTATGTTTAAATGTGCGCATTTAAATGTGAACAATTAACAATGAGCGAATGGTTAGACGAAGCAAATTTATCTCGAAAACTTGCTCTACAAAATTTTAACTGTAGCCTATCATAGATTAACTTCTAATTATTTCAAATTAAAAAATGAATCCTACAAATTTGATTTTGTTCTTGGTAATGTGTCTGTCTCACATAGCAGGAAATTACTTTCCCTCTAATTCACTTGCAGTAAAATGTACGCTTAGTAAACCTCGAATTTGCCATGAAATATAAACAAGTCTGATATAATTAGTTCAAAATGTTCTGAATTAGAGTCTAGAATCCAGAAAATACTCTGATTGATTGTCACGGCAATGTTTGTTTGGAGCAAAAGTTTTCCTGTCGTATAAAAAGACTTTAACACTTACACGACAATAAAAGAAAGAAACTTATCAAATACAACAAGATC